TGGGTGAGTGTTCTTGGAGGAGGTGCGGGGAATGGCATGGCGCCTAACCCCCGGGACCCACCCAGAGGGCAGACTGCCAGTGGACCTTGCTGGCTTTGCCTCCAGCCTGTAGGGGTGGGGTTTGGGGGATGGCGTCACAGTGGCCTAAGCCCTGTACACAGGACCCCCATCCAGTGCAGGCCACGCCACGCCTTTCTCCTGCTCGCCTTCTGTTTTACCCTCTTGATCGGGTATTTGGTGCTAGGTTATTCTCTGCCACTAGCCTGGGGGAGATGGGGTGGCTGAGAACAGCGGCAAAGGCTTATTTCTTCTTTGAGAAGGCTGAGCCCCAGGTGGGGCTCCTGTCAAGCGTTTGGGACAGAATTCAGGCTTCCAAGTCAGACAGGCCTGGGGTCAAAGCTGGGTGACCTTGGGCAGGTGGTCCACCTCTGAGTCAAAGTGACAACCTCTGAACAATGGTTACTCTGATCCCTTTGTTACCATCACTGTGAACATAATAGGTCCCAGATGTAGATATTAATATTAGGCGAGTATTTGGGCTGTAGATAGATATTAATATTAGGCTCAGTAGAGGTTTGTTGAATGAGTAAGATACCATTCTATTCAGATTCAGCTTTACCTTCCCAGGCCTAGCTCTGGCTTATGGACTTGGAGGCCACCACCCCACCCTCTAGGACTCAACTGTAGAGCTATGCTGCCAGCCACAGGTGGCTATTAAGCATTGAAAGGTGGCTCATGCCACAGAGGAACTGAAGTTTTAATTGTATTTGACTTGATTAACTTAAGATTTAAAAAAAAATCTCCATTCAGTTATTGAAAAAGTTCTACATATGTTTGACAACTCAGTGTTAAGAATATACTTTTTCAATTGTAAAGGCTAAGAGAATCTAAATATCTGATGAAAATTTAGTGTCAGAATTGAGATGTGCTGGAAATTCTACCACATGTGTGGTCTCTGACTCTCATGTATGTGGGGTTCCCATACATATGTGTATATTAAATTTGGTTATTTTCTCTTGCTAAAAAAAATTGAGATGTGCTCTAAATGTAAGTGACATAACAGATTTAGAAGACTCAGTATGAAAAAAGTAATATAAAATATCTCAATAATACTTTTATATTGATTTCATGTTGAAATTTATATATTGGGTTAAATAAGTATGCTATTAAAATTAATTTCAGCCCTAGCTGGTTTGGCTCAGTGGATAGAGCATTGGCCTGCTGACTGAAAGGTTCCAGGTTCAATTCCAGTCAAGGGCACATGCCTGGGTTGTGGGCTCGATCCCCAGTAGGCGGTGTGCAGGAGGCAGCCAATCAATATTCTCTCTCATCACTGATGTTTTTCTCTCCCTCTCCCTTCCTTTCTGAAATCAATAAAAATATATTAAAAAATAAATACATAAAATAAAATAAATTTCACCCAATCCTTTGTACTTTTTAAAATGTGGCTACTGGAAAATTTTAAATTACATATGTGTCTAACACTATATTTCTATTGGACAACACTATTTTAATGAGAGAGTTGACACATTTAAATAATAATACAATAACTATAATGACTAGTTATTAGGG